TTTTGTCTTTGTACACAATAAATAGTCGAAATAATGCTTCGATTTTCAACTTCAGTATCTTGTTCGATTGGAAAGTGAATATCGTTGGTGCATTGGGAAGGTCAAAATTTTCAAATTCCCAGTAATTTTCAAAAGCGCCAAGAAAAACAAATGAATAATTAAGGAAAACGGGTATTTTTAAGCAAAATCGATTTTTCACAAAATTGAATTTGGTTTTTGGTGTAACTTTAAAACAAATGACAGTAGATACATGAAATTTTCTCTGGTTGTTTATATTTGCATTTTCTATACACGATAACATTTTCAAAATATTTTGATTTATTTTGAACTGTTTAGGCACATTTTCATTTTCCATTTTTTTTTAGTTTTTTTTTTTTAAAATATCAATAAAATATTATTTGTTGGTTAAAAAAGCTTGAAAATTTAAGAGACAATAGTTTATTGTTTCAAAGACAGATGAAAAATATTAAAAATCCTTTTTTTTACAAGCATTAAAGGTTTAAAAATTGACAAAATATGGAAAAATCACGAAAATTAGCAAATTATTTTGAGTTAAGTATTCGTAAAAATTTTTCTTTATAAATCTAAGATTTTAAATGTAATACAAGATTCCTTATAAGATTATCTACCTTTTAAAAAAAAACGAATAACTGTAGATACATGAACATTTCACTGAATAGTGAATGTTTATATTAGCATTTCCTATACACCATACAATTTTGAAAATATTTTGACCTTTTTGAGCTGTTTATGGACATTTACAGTTTTCAATTTTTTTAGTTTTTTTTTTCTACAAATATCAATAAAGTTTTATCTGTTGTGCCAAAAAGTGTAAAAATTTAATACAAAGCTCCTGATATATTGTTACAATATCAGTTGAAAAAATATTAAAAATACATAGGCACAATTTTTTTTTATAAGCATTAAAAGATCGAATTTTGACAAAATTTAAAATTAAATAATTATTTTGTAGTTCAAAATTTATAAAATGTTCAAGGAGTTCAACTTTTATATCTAAGGATTGAAAATTTAAAACAAGATTCCTCGTAAGTATAGTTAATTCTGTTACCAAAAAATCTAAAAAATACATAATCACAGTTTATATTTAGTCATTTTAAGTCAAAATTTGGACAAAATTACATAAAAAAAAACCTAGAACAACTATTTTAGTTATTTTGTTGTGATTGTATAATATTATTCGTGGGTATACTTGAAACTTCTAAAGTATACTACTATTTATCTACCTATGATAGTATCAGGGTTTGTTATTGATGTATAACGTTGATGTATAAACGTAATGTATAACCACGTTATAAGTACCTACCTAATGTATATTGTGATATGATCAAATTGGAATTTATTATAGGTACCTATTTTAGTTAATTTTTTTTTAATACGATAGATAAGTATATAATATGTCTTATAACTAGACTGACGTACCGTCTCCGCTCAGAATGGTTTTTCTTATACAATGATATATCATTGAATTCAAATTTAATACTTACCAGTTACCATCCATTATACAGTGATCCCCTTGTAACCTACTGTACAGCAGATCACCTTTTTTTTTTTTTAAATTCTTCTTTATGATGTGAAGGTATGTATGGTGGAAATAAAGTGTACAACAAAACCAAAATTGTTGAGACTTTGTGTGCGACACGCCGACACTGCTATAATTTTGTTAATCAGTAAATTGTTATTTAAATCATAGCACTGGTTCATATGAATCATATGCACTATTTTCATAATACCACGGTTGAACATACTTCAAAATAAGTGTCGGAATTAAGGGAAATAAATAAATATTAGGACAAAAAATACATGTAATTCTCAAACTATACCATTAAAAAAAAAAAATTTATGTTACCCCATGCTGTAGGTATATATGTTACCGCCAATGTCGGAAATAAGCCATTATCAGTAGTGACTAGTCAATATTAGCAATGGCTAATTAGGTAAGGCAATACTGACAATGGCTAGGCAATATATAAAATGCCTATAATTGATGGTTAGTTTGGGTAATATATTATTTATTTATTTTATATTTTATTTTTATTTATTTATATAATTTAAATCAACATAACCATGATCTTTATTATTATCTAAATATATTTTATTTATTTTCACAAGACAAACTACTATGGCATTTTGAATTACATTCAATGAAGTTTTGGAATGTTTTACTTCTTGCAGCCGTTTGTTATATTCCTCGACACTTAAAAATGATTTATTGTCATGATTTTTAACTTTTAAGCAATAATAAATCAATTGATTTATTAAATTTTTCACTCATATTGGCTAACTCCACTATCAAAAATTATAAGGACACACACTTCACAACGATACTGTACCACGACTGAAAGTATGTACGATACTACTACACGACTAAAACTATGTACGATTATTTTGTCAGAGGGAATAGGTAATGCGATAAATCAAGATAACTAATCGATAACCACCTTAGAAAATACTGATAAATGACAATAATATAACATTGACTTAACTTACCAGTCAATTACGGAAATATACACCAATTGCCCACAATGACTGGTATGCACCGGCATTAATTGGATCTACTGATCTAGATATCAAAATATCTCTTGAAAAATAACATACTTGATCAGCGATACCTTAATTGTGTAAATGCCCGCTCCCTTGGGAGGTGCGAGCACTTTATACGGAGGGCATAGAGTAAATATTACTTAGGTTACAATTTTTAGATCATATTTGAGGTTGACTACAATTTTCTAATTTTGATACAAGGAAATTGTAGCACTGTCCAAATTTATTCTTTATATTGTATAATTTTTAGTTTCTCTTGATAGTCATAAATACACACAAATTTTTGAACGACAAGTTTAAGTATAAAATATTAAATAATTGTTAACTTATTTTGTTACATTATTCTTTTTATTATTCATGAGTTACCATTTTTAGGGAGCCTTGAATAAAAAATGTCTGGAAGCAACTGTATCACTAGATCATTATTGACTATCCAAAAAAAAAAAAAGTACGAGACTTATAGGTAAAACTTTATTTTTAATAAATGTCCTATAATAATAATATAATGATTAATAGTTTAGGCTATATAGTACTAATATTTTTTTATAATAAGATGTTTAGAAATTATATACACATAAAACAATGATGATAATAATAATAATTAGGTAATTTGTCATTAAGATTGCAAAAAGATGTCTTTTTTTAACATATACATATACATATTAAAATTTTGGAATATACATGTTAACAAGTTTGTAAATGGATAAAATGTAAGGAACAAAAAAATACAAATAAAATTAATAATAATAATAATTAAATGAACATAGGTACTATATGAGTTTAAAAAGGTAAAAAAAAAGATTTTTTTGTTCGATTTATCTAAATGTTACAATATACTATTCTAGTATGCATGCAAAAATACAAAACATTAAATAACAACTTTTGAATGTATTCCTAGTATAAAAAAACTCATGATGAGAACAAAATTATTTTATTTACAATTTTTTTTAATATTATTTATTTATTAGTATTATAGAATAATACGTTAACCTCTCGAAATCGCTCTGAAAATATGAACACTGGGTTGTTTTTTTTGTGTTAATTCGTTATAGTAGTTTAGAACATCTTTTGGATTTTTGGTTTTGTACTTAACAAAATTATTTTTGTGAGTCATAAAAAAAATGTAGAAAATATAATATGGTAAAAAAAATAATAAAGAAAATGGCGTAAAAAAGGATACATTTATATAATTACAATTGTGATATAAACAGTAAATGGAATTAATGTTGTTATATGCATAATCTATGAAGTGTTTTATCAAAAAATATTTAGAAGAATTTAAATATTGTGTTGTAAATTAAAACAAACTGTGATTGGTACAATGCTTAGAAATTACAAGACAAAAACCGATATGAAAAACTATCAAAAGAGTAAAATAAACTAATTGTGATTGTTCATAAAATATTTAATTTAATATTACTTCTTATTAATATATTGGTAATTACTAATAACTATGCATTATCATAGAAAGTTATTAATTATATTAAATACATTTAAATGAACAGATATCTTATTATTTGAATAATACTGAATGTAATTTGTATTTATTCAGTTTTAGAATAACTACAAAACAAATATTTAACATATTTTAATTTTCACTAAAAATAGATTAACAATTGACATTGCAGATCACAAACGGTTATTACTTTTGACATTATTAAACAAAGAACTAGCATATATATAAATTGAACAATAAATTTAAAAATTGTACTAACTTACAATATATTATTCTATATACAGGTAAAGATTACACCTGTTACAATAAAATATAATATTATATAATATACCAAGATTATAAAAAAATGCATTGTCCTTAGATATAATACACTAGTTCTCTCAATTTCATATGAACCATACAACAATCACAGTTTTTAAATATTACATTATGAAGGGATCAATTTACTGATTCAGGAACAACATCACTAAATTAAATTTTCTTGTACAAGGTTTCTTTGAGCTATGTTTATGGTTATACATACAGAGATAATATTACTTACTGTGTTATAAAAAAATAGAACTTATTAACATTAATAAAAACGAAAAAAAGTACAAATTAGATAAAGCATGTTGGCAGATATAAAAAATAATTTAACCTAAGTTTACGATCTAATGTTGAATAGAATAACAGTATCTAATAAAATTAAAATATTATCTACAACTAAATAGTTTAAAAACAATTCATTCATAAAAACTTCAAAAAAAAAAAGAAAAAAGAAACGGATAAGTTATAAATATTTATGACTTACCAAAAGTAATGATGGTCAGAGATGTATCTATTAGCAGTGTTAATGATAAATATTGTGCAAATGATGTAGTTGATGTCTGTGTGCGTGATAAACCGCAGATGCATGTTGCATATATATGGCGGCTGCTTGGGGATTAGCACCGCGTAGAGCGATGGCCTGTTGCATAGGCCACTCCGAGAGGCGGGCGTGATCTCAGTAACCCGATGCTTCTTTATACTCAGACCCCTCCATTGTGAAGAAGTCTTCCAGTTTCCACTGGAGTGTTTCAAATGTTGGTCTCTTCATTGCATCTTTATGCCAGCATTCTAACATAATATCATACAACGCCGTTGGACAATTAGGTGGCATTGGCATTCGGTAACCATGCTCAACCTGATGCAATACCTCAGCATTGGTCATACCTAAAATTATAATATTGTATAAAATATTCTTTCAAAAACCGAAATATATATTAATATTTACCCGGGTAAGGTATTCGTCCATAGGTAACCAGCTCAGTGAGTAAAATTCCAAATGACCATACATCAGATTTTATAGAGAATTTGCTATAGTTAGCAGCTTCTGGTGCAGTCCATTTGATAGGGAATCTAGCACCAACTCTTGCTTCATACTCATCCTCCTAAAAAAAATAACAAATATTAACATTTTATACAATAATAATTAGTTTTCAGAACTTTAACCTTTATAAGACGAGCAAGACCAAAATCTGCAATCTTCACAATGTTACTCTCTCCAACAAGAACGTTCCTAGCAGCAAGATCACGATGAATGTAATTTTGAGATTCGAGGTATGCCATACCAGATGCTATTTGAGCTGCCATATCAATCAATTGTTGAAGTTTCAAACCACGTCCTTTACCTATACACAAGTTTAAATGTTAATAAGTATTATATAAAATATATAAACAACAAAAATTTAAAGAAATATATTATTGTGGAATACCTTGTAAAAAGTCTAATAAACTTCCATTTTTCATTAGTTCAGTGATAATATAAATAGGCTCTTCCATAGTACAAACAGCATATAATTGAATTAATTTGGTATGTCTTAGTTTTTTCATAATTTGGGCTTCTGCTAAGAAATCTTTGGGATCCATTGTACCTAAGTTACAAAAAAAAACATTAATTTTTTTCAATAACTTATTAGTTATTGTTAGGGTTAGGATGTTTATGACCTACAAAACACTAAAAAATGCATACTAATATACCAAATAAAAATAAAAATATACTTTAAATTAATGTAAAAAGTTTGTTTAAACTCAAAAATATGATATTGCACTTGCAATATGTTGAGCATTATAATTTTTTTTTTTAGATGTAATTTTTACTCCACATAAGTGGTTACAGAATAGCACTAAAACATCTGTTGAAAATACATCCTCCCCAAACTCTAAAACACCTTTTCATAGTAGAGCAGCATTGAAACTTTTTATTTTGGGCATTTTTAGTGAGAATAAAACTAAAATAATTCAGTAACACACCATATACTAGGTCAGGGGTCTCCAACCTTGGCCTGCCAAGGGTTTTTCACTGACCCGCCCACCTAATTAATGTTTTGAAAATAATAGATTTATTATATTACTAGCTCTAAGTGTAACTCGGGGCCCGTCGGACTCGCTGGAGTAGGTACCGATTTTGGAGACAATGAATTATAAAAGTCTCAAAGGTTGTAAGACGAAAGTTTAGGATTTGTGATAAGGATTAGTGATATGGATTGGAGATAAGGCTAGACGCTTTGGCGGGAATGTTTAAAGTTTGAGCGTCTAGCAATCCGTCACAAACGTTGTAAATGGATAGGCCGTATACGATCTCCAAGATCACCGATATAGAGTATACCTGCACATAGAGTGGTATGTTCCGTAGCATGACCGGTGCCTTATCTTATGTAAAAAGTGTAAAGTCGAAAACCGTGTTTGAGTTTCTAGCAAGTCAGTCATCTCAAGTTAAAATCTATTAACTTTCAAGTTAGCCACTTAGGTAGGCAATCCGACTTCGTCGGATCGCGGACAATGTGCTACAGCAAATCAGGTAGGCAATCCACCTGCGGTGGATTGCAGACCCGACGTCAAGCGGCTATAAGTGAAAACCCTATCACACAACTTACGAAATAATTTACGAAAAATTCAAGCTATATACAATATACATACAAACAAATATGATATGTATTTATTGTGGGATATAATATAACAATGAACATTCTGAGAAATGTGCTATTATAATTCCTAAAAAAAATTTACATATAGGTAGATAGTTAGATAGGTACACACTATTATATTAACCAATACAATAAATATAAACATGTACCTATAGTGTATATACATATATTAATTTAAAAAAAAAAATGCAAAAACCTGCATGTTAAAGTGTCTATCAAGTCAATCATCACCGTTTAATACGAAACTAAAATGAGCAATCCGCCTATCACCTATATATAGTAGGTATATCACATAGAGTGGTATATGTGCCTTCGCATGTCCGGTGCCTTTTCTTATGTAAAAAGTGTAAAATCGAAAACCGTGTTGGAGTGTCTAGCAAGTCAGTTATCTCAAGTCAAAATCAAGATTAACTTTCAAGTTAGCCACCTAGGTAGGCAATCCGAAATAAAATACAAACTATATTTATATAACAATCATGGAAATTTTAAAAAATATGCAATTATAATAATTCCTAATAAAACAAAATATAAAATATGTACCTATTTATTGTGTGATATAATATGACAATGACTTTAAATAATAATAATGTTCCTGTATTATTATATTATTATTTAATTTATATGAAAAATATAGTGAAAAAAAAATGCAAAAAAAGTCGGGTTTTTTGGGCGGCCGTGTAAACCTTACGGCAATGACGGCACGACGCCCCCGGACGGCGTACGACGGATTTGAACTCGGGACCTACGTGTATTCTACCTAACGCCTAACCTACTCGGACACATTCTGAGATGTGGATTACGGTCAAAACATCAACAATTAAGCCGTGCGTCTATGGAGCGACGTAAACCGATATATTCGATGTACATCGATGTAATCGCATATAATTCGCTTGTAATACGCGCATCTCCCATATATATATTTAACGGGGCGTGTGAAAAGCGTTTTTCGTTAATAATTATTAAATTATACACGTAAATACATGTATATATACGCGTACGGTCGGTCGGTCGCCGGCGTAATTTATAAACGCGATTGCGAGGCGAACGAACCGATTTCGGGGGAAAAGCCCATATAAACGGCTTTAAAAAGACGTCGACTACACGATTCGGGCACAAACGGCGTGCGAATAGACGAAACGATGGGAGAAAAGGAAAAAATCGGCAAAAAAGTCCGGTCGGGAGTGTATTTTTCGATCGATATTGCGACCGCTTCCTACGGCGCACGAATATAAACCGCACACCGGCAGCTTCGAATTAAGTATAAAAAAGGACCAAAAGGGTCGAAATCGTGTAAAAACAGCTAATTTTCCGAAAATTTCAAAAATCGGCGAATGATAGGAAAAGAGGTGATAACGAAAAACGTTTTAAAACCGACCGCCGCCGCTGCGAAGGTACGCGATTGGTCGCGCTATAAGGAATCGACGGGACTTGGCCGGCGGGCTGGGGAAACGGAGCGGTGCTTAATTTTTTACTCCACGGTTTCACTCTAACTGCGTTTTCCGTTCCACGGGTTGCTTGTAGACAGCTGATTTCCTTGTCATTTTATATATTAGGATTTTCATTGTTTTTAATTTATTGAATCAATTAAATAAAATTAATTTATTAGTTTTATTTTCTTTCAGTGTTATTCGCAACAGCTTATAATAGTAATTTATACCTATAATAAACTAATTAATAATACTAACTATTAATAGAAAACTCTGTATACAATTTAAAAAGTATATAAATAAACATTAATTGTTCTAAATAAATCTTATTTATTCTTCAATTTCTTAACCGATCTATTCCTCTAAAAATTTTGGCCTGCAATGCCAAAGCGTATCTCAATTTTGGCCCGCTGTAAAAAAAAGGTTGGAGACCCCTGTACTAGGTAAATAAAGATTTTATAGTGTTAAGTCACTATGCTCCCTCTCACACAACTCAGTCGCTGTTATTGGTCATAAAAATCATTAATAAACGTATAGGTAGTAAAGATAACTGATAAGTAAGTTGTAAAGATAACGTTATTAAAAAATAAACGTTTCATATTTTCTCAATTATGTTAGCTGTAAAACTAACAATGCCTACCTATGGGTTTATATAATATTATTCATCAAAATATGCATTTATTTACCATTTTTTTTTCTTTAAAATTTGCATTCAATATTTATTCATAAAAGTCCCTAAATATGCAAAATAAAATCTTAAGTACCTAATTCTATGTCATAAGATTTAAATGTATAGCTTCATCTGTAATGTGCATTTTAATAGAAAAAATATGAAAAAGTCATAAACATCATACTAGCCAAACCACCCTACTTATTATATTAAATATAATTGAAAATTACCAGTCTTTAATGTTTTTATAGCAACAGGTGTCGTATTATTCCACAAGCCTTCCCAAACTTCACCAAACTGACCATGTCCTAATTTTCGTACAAACTTCAATGAAGATCTATCAATTTCCCATTGATCTCTTGTACTATGGGACAGACCACCAGTTACTGGTTTCTCCACCTAACAAAAAAAAATAAACATAATTTTTAACATAATATATTTATATTAATAAGTATAAAATATTAATTAAATTGCATACATTTAGGTACATTGATTATTAATTAAATATATTTAAAAGTTATTTAGAACACTTAATCTAAATGGGGACAAAATATTTGATACCAGAAAAACTTAAAACAACTGGTTTATTTTCTAATATAAAATTTGATAAAATCAATTTTGTGTTTTGTGGTAGGTACTTTATAAATGAATAACCGTAGACTTAAAATGTTTGACAATTAATATTTATATTAACATTTTCTAGACACAATTTTCACAGTATTTTTGCTCTTTTGATGCTATTTATAGAAATTTTAAATTTATTATTTTTTTTTCCTTTTATGCTGATAACATTTGTTTCATAGTAAAAAGGCTAAAAAATTAAATACAAGATTCCTTTTAAGTTGTACTTACAGCAATGAAATAGGTAACTAAAATGAGGGATCACAATGTGTTTATGTAAGTGTTAGATTTATATAGATAACAATATTTTATAAAGTTAGAATTTTAACAAAATTTGTCAAAATCATGAACATTTTCCATTTATTTATAATGTATAAAAACCAAGTCAATTAAGTGAAAAAATTAATATAAGGATTCCTATAAGTTTTAATCGGTTGAGTATTTTCTGATTCCTTAAGTCTCAGTCATACATTTCACCTTGCTAATAGAATAGCTATTACTCGTGGCTTCTATTCTAACATTCATACGACCTATGCGAGATCCAAAATAATATGTGTTGAAAATTTGGTATCAATTTCCAATTGGTCCAATCAAAATAACTATTTTATTATCTGTATTTTGTAACTAATGGCAACTAATTAAGAAATCAAAAGAATATTGATGTAAAAACATCTTATGGGGCATTCAGACTTTCAATTTACGTAAGCCAAAATTAAAACTTTGCCACCCTATGGCGATATAAAGAGATCAAAAAATAAAGTATAAACTAACACTCTTTGAGTCTAGAAATCTATTGATATAAATTGTATTGAAAATGATCCAGTCTGAGTCTATAGAGTAGATAGAAACAATCAGACTAACATTCATATACCTATTTTAATTCTATAATAATCAATAAATGTTATAAATAAATTAAGTATGTGGACAGTAAAAATGATTTTAACACATCAGAAAGAATAATGTGGTTCATGACAGATTAAGTATTTTATCTAAAAAACACCATGTTACTTATTATAGATATTTTTTAAATTAAAAGATGAAGTCTTACCTGTACACAAGGCTTACGTAAGTTGACACATAAACCGTCAGCATCTTTACTATAGTACTCTACTAATTCCTGTAAAGTTCTAAAGGTAGTACGCCGAGCAATGAAGAATCCACCTTCATCTAATTGTCTGATTCGGTAATGTTTAACAGTATCACCATCGCGAACTATAGTAAATGTACATAATATATATGAATATAATATAAAAGTAAGCACACAGGTACAATATAATTCAATATTAAATGTTTAAATGCTTGCTTTAATGTATTCAAGTTTATTTTTTACATAGACCTGCTTTCAAACTTTAAGATATGACATTTACTTTAACTCATTCAGACCTTCTTCCGATGCCGCATAATATAGGTAGTAGGAACTTTAAAAAAATTTAAAATTCTTTTTTTATTTTACCAACATAGATAATCCTTTAGATAATAATTAATAATACTAGCTAATACATAGTGTAAACATTTATATTATGATTTATGATATTTAAATGTTAAATGTATATTGGAAATATATTTCATGATTCGACCCTCACTATAAAAATTTACTGGAGTTACTGAAGTAAAAAATATTAACTGTGAATTATTAAGAGGAATATTCTTTGAAAAATCATTTGATAAATAAAACAATTTCAAATAATAATAATACCTAATAGCATTTTGGCCCTTGGATTTTCTTGTTTATATGATTCTATGAGGTAAATAGATGATTAAAGAAAAAAATATTTACCTAGGTACCAAAACATAAGAAAACATTGGAAAACATACAATGTGATATTAACCAATAGTGTAGTTAAATGATCATTATGATATTTTTACATATTATATATTATAATATGTACATTGTACATTTAATAAATATATGTAAATATATCGACAGTCAATTATATTATGTTTAATGCAAAATCAACCAAGAAACGAAATACCTACCTACTTAAATACATTGAATTCCTATTGATATGTAAACAAAAAACCATATTACATGAATTTTCATTTATTATAAAATATTGATTACCTACCTATATTTAAAAAAATAACAAGGTACCTTTATTAGGATAGCCAATTGCCAATTGTGATTAGATACCTAAAATTGTAATAAATACTTTATGTAGATTTTTTTGCAAAAGTTGATTCAGTTAAGTAATTATAATTTTTGAATGTAGAAGAACTACGTGATGTGGTTAGGAACAGGACAGGAACACACACTTGATGCATAGGTAATATAAAATACCATAATCAAATGTTTATAAAATTATACCAATATTAGGTTTAAATTTGTTAATATTAATATTGTAATACCTATGATATTAATGCCATAATTTAAATACCTAGGTTGGATTAACCTAACTATTGTTTTGAGTATGATTAGGTATCTTTCAAAATGTCTAATAAATAGGTACTTATAAACCAAAACTATCAAAAATATAATTTGATTAATGAAGTACTCAATAAAAGTTGTATTATGTTGATTTTAATTAAGTAGACGGCATAAGGTAAACACCTATAGGTAGGTAAGGTACCTACTAATAATATAAAAAATATGTTCAATTGACTCACCAGACAAAGAGTAATCATTTCTTCTACTCTCAGAATCCCTAATTAAAAATGCTCCATGATCATTCTCTGGCAATAGTAGTTTTTTCTCGGCCTCAATTCTTTTGATCTTGCCAAAATACCATGGCTCAGCCTCTATAGACTTCAATTTGGCAACATAATTAGAAGGAATATAACCTTCCTGTTTAGTAGCTTTGCTCCTGGCCAGCCACCAATCACCTTGTGTATCATTCAGGATCTCTAAATGTTCTCCTTTCCTGAAGCTGAGGTCTTCATCGGTGCGTGCGTCATAATCATATAGGGCTACAAATATTTTTGCCGACGCATTTGTGGCGTTTGAAGGCTCCTGGTCGGGCACCGGCGGCATTGGCCCGTTCCTGACTTCACGTATGTTGTCGTGGGGTGGCATGTTCTGTATGGGTACGCTGGGCACGGCTGGCAATATGTTGTCTTTGCTGTTACCAGCGTTGGAAGGCGAGCCCGTCATGTCCTTCTTGCCAGACGAGCCCCTCTGACAACTGAAGCAGCTGCCCATCTTGCGTAGCGCAATCGTCTTAGCTCCAAGTCCACCACCGGGCAGGTACTACAAGACCGTCCTCTGTCCTTACTCAGGCGCGTATTACGTACATGATAACGCACAAGTGCAGTGCTGTTTTTGTAATGCGATGATCCGAATCCCAAATACGCGAAACACCTCTGCTCTCAGCTGAACACGACGTCACTGCGAACCTATTACATTTAGGTAAAACGGCATCGACGGTCGTATACGGTTGGAAAGTGTTCCTGCTAAACGGGATACAGACACAATTAATAGTAAATTATAATGCACCTAGTGAGTTGTAGTGGTTAATTAAATATTCTACTAGGCACCCGTAAAGTGAATAATGATTAATGAAAAAAAAAAAACACAAAAGACGATTCCTGATAAGAATTATTCGAGTGACATGGAAGAAAAACTATTAATAAAAAAAATTTAAAGGGGGCAAAATATCATCCAGTGGGTTTTATTTTTGATATTTTACACAATATTATTTATTATTACCTATTCACCATTTACGGCATGCAAAACCTATTCGCATTTCTAATACGTCAGATAACGCAATTACTAATTAGATAACTCTGCTGTTCAGTAATGGTATGCGCCTAACTAACTACAATCTATAACTATTAACTACCCATTACCTATATAGGCTATAATACGCTGTTGCTCAGCAAAAAATAAAATCGCCGTGAGCCAATTTTATGCTGCCATATTATTATTATTATTATTATTAGTGGAAAAATTAATAGATACCTATATTATGTTGTATACACAGATATAAGATACATAGGTAAAATGATGTGGTTGTATATGAATAACAGATAACTATTAGCTACCTATCATATTGATATAGACGGTACGGCGGTACTTGTAGGTATATTATTGTTATTATTATTATTATAATACCTACCTATACTATACCTAGTACATGCACATCATAATATTATGCGCATGTGCATTGTGCATATCATAATATAATATAGTTAGCCAGTTAGGTCTTACACGGTACCTACGCATAGGTATAGGTATCAGGTGTGTAATGGCAACACTAACAACCAACAGGAGAAGGGGATTTGGGTACAATAATAATATGAGTATGGGTACATGACGTCGCAAGATAAGTGGTAAACATTTTTTTTTGCATATTTGTTTGCGCCATGGTAGTAAATTCCCCCTCCCCCCTTGAAATTTTGTCGAAACCGCTACTACCTATTGCTTTGAATACCCACTAGTTACTACCTATAGCATAAAAATTAAGTAAACACGCACAATTAAGAGGCCGTCGTGGTAAAAGAGAAACATATAAAAATATAATATGATTCAATTCATATGCATATAGGTAGAGGTATTAAATGTGTTTAAGTTTAAATTTGATTTATAGAACCACTTTCAATCTTTAAGATGTTGGATATTGACATTAACTCATAATGAGTGGGGCACCCTGGCAGTGTAACATATGTAGGAACACGAGAAGGGGATTTGCGCACAACAACAAATTAAGTATAATATATTATATTATTTAATATAATATATTGACATCGCAAGCAAACGGCCGACAATATTTTTTCGAAAGTCAAACGACCTTGCAGCTGCAGTAAAGCGCGTCGTTGGCTCGTCCGCTTGTACAGAAATGCCGCGAAATTATAATAATATTGGATACCAATATGAAAATGTATACCATGAATACTGGAACATTATATTATTATTTATTGTAATGGACAATTATAGGTAATTACCAGAAATTTGGTACCTCTAATATTATTGGAGAGGCTAACAACTTGAAATGGTACCCAAATAGCTAAACACTGTAGGTACCTACCTATAGGAAAAAAAGTTATTCTTTTTACCCAAACAATCAGGTGGGAACCTTCTAAGATATGTTTTCCTAATCCCAATTGTATGAGCTTTTCTTCAATGTATTCAAATTAATTGTAGTACCTACGGTTTAGCAGATATGAACATTATTATGAATGAAACTTGCGTTTAACAAAAAAAAAACAAACATGGAAATTATCACCCTTATTATGATTGATAATTCGATTATGGTCACAAGGACTTAACTCTGATTTTAAATCAAAAAAGTGATTATATAGTCTAGAAGCTTATAAATTAAACCGTTTTTTCAAAATTACAATCGAACTTCAGGAAGTATGTTTAATTTGCTACCACTTTTAGTAGTTTTTATAGTTATGCAAACAAGAATAATATTTTAATTTTTCGTAAAGTTTTATCATGTGCGAGTGTTGCATCCAGCAGCGGTTGCCCGAGCGATTCTCGGAAACACACACCAGTGGAGTAGCCTGCAGGATTATGAAATAGGGGGGGGGGGGTAAGTAAAAATTAAAACCTTTACAGTTTTCGTATATAAATAAATTTAGGGTCGGGACTTGTTAGTTGTTACACTAAAAATTATCGAAATATGCAGTCAAAATTGTCAAAATATGCTTAAATATATGCAGCTAAATTTTTATATTATTTTTGAAAAGTGCATAAAACATATTACAATTTTGGAAATAAAAAACAAAATGTAAGTAGGTATATAATCATGATAAAAAAAATGTATACACGGATTACTAATTCGAATATAGGGATGAGGTACATTGATTAATATGATGGACAGGGGACACTATTACATTTTTTAGACATTTTTAAGCTATTGTGAAATAAAAAAACTTAATTTTTAAAAATACTAGGTTAATAAATAAGTAATAACAAATAACGTGATATACAAACACCGTGATAAACGACACGTATCTGATTTTCATTTCTTCGTTCAATCAAGAATCTATATGTCAATTAAAGTTTTAAGTTTGAACACAGTTTTGTCACAAAGAAACTTATAAAATCTTACGTACCATATGCCAAATAGGGGGACTGTAGCCAAGCCTCCACCAACAACTTGACCAGCCCTCCCAAATCTCAATCCCAAACATTTACTACATTTTTTTAAGCTTATTCAATTTTATAATAGTATGGTTTCAGTCTTCAGCCTCCCCAAATCTCAGTATTTGCCTACTATTATATACCTATACTATTGTATCTACCCAAACATAATATTTTTTTATGTATCTAAATATGATTTTCCCGACCATTGTACGTAAGTAAATACATTTAAGTTCAAAAATGCAAAATATGAACAAATATGCTAAAAATCAATTAAATGCACATTTTACCTAAAATATTACGAAATATGCAAATTGAAACTTTGTATTTAATTTCGTCATTTCATAAAACAAATTTACAACTTATCTAAAATAATCTACGAGTCTATGACCACTAGAATAAAACATGTAAGTATTCCCGAACTATATAGACTATAAACAATACATTTATTATAGGGGGAATTCCAATTTATGGGGGGTGGGGGTAAGGGGGTTAATCACCTAAACCCCCCTAGCTACGCCACTGACCCACACTAATGTTCATTTACTACTTACACATAAACATAGTTCAAATGTTTATGTCATGGGAATTGCCTAAATATTACTAAGCTTTTATACACTGGAGCACCCTTAAATACAATATTTCAATATAGCGGAGCAATGAAGTATACTGAAATTTTACGCTAGATATAAAGCTTTTGACAAAAGTGATTTTGATTGTTTAGTGTAACTAAAATAAAAATAACCATTGATACGTGACATTTTTTTTTAAATTATAAATTATAAATTATTATCAATGGACGATTTGGTCGTTTTCAATGAAAATTTTATTGATTTTAATGTAAGAAGGCCGGATACCATTATGTAGCTTTTAATTTTTATCGATGTCTTTTTCAAGAAATATTAATTTTTATTATTGGACGAGTATTGTTTTTTAATTTTGGGTCGAGTCAAGTCGAGTTCAAAATTCAAATACTCGACAAATGCCAAGTATTCGAAAAAAGGGTCGAGTACATGGGAATTGTTAGAGTATTTTAAATAATTGTACTAGAAAATAATAGATTTACCTATAAATGTTTTAATTTTCTTTCATACAAACCTTGCTTTGGCAATATTAATAACAACTAACATGAACAAAATTTAAACTATCAATTAACACCTTCCTAGTATTCTTATCGGAAATATTTGGGATCTTTCAGTTATTTACAGTTTTAACATTTATTTTTCAATACAATATTATTTAGTATTTATAGTATTTTTAATTTTAAAAGTAGTGACGACTGACGAGTACTCGATTCAAGGCCAGTACCTACTCGTAATTACAAGTATAAAAACATTAAAAACAATTTTCGTCAAGTTAAGTCAAGTACTCGACCAACACTATAATACAGTATAATTATAAACATATTTTTTACATTTTGTGTTCGAACACCATAATAATGTAATTTAATAGAAAATATATTATTATACAAACTTTTAAATAATATGAAAAGACTCCAAGTACCTATTCATAAACTTTAGAATATAGGTAATCTTGGTATTCAGCATTCCATAATTTATTGTTGGCTGTGTCGTTAATTTAATGTTACCTACATTACTGATCGGCTGTGGTGGTAGCCGGTAGAAAAAATCGACAATTTATATAATAACAGTATTAAATAGTTGGCTTACTGCCAAAACTCATTAACGCAACATTTTAATTTTTTTTTTTGTACAGCACTATCTACTATCTAGTGTATAAATTTGAGCTCTATAATTTGTGTAATGGCACTATATACATCGAAATCTCTTTAAAACCATGTTTTTTTTATCTTTTTCAATAATATTCTTTATTGTATTTTCTTGTATTGTTTTATTGTAAGATGTAAGAATTCATTAAACCGTTCATGTGATTGGTTAGTGTGATAGGTTTATGCAATATAAAACAATAAAAAATTATAATATGCTTATTGCTTTTGTATTATAGGAAAAAATATAAACAAAATCCTAGAGAAACTTTTCATTTATTCAAAACGCCATTTACCAACAATTTAGTTTTTAACGATAATGAGATGAGATTTGGCAAAAAGCCAATAAAAAAACCATATAGCATGCTATCAGATATTTTTCCTCTATCCGAGAAAAATCTATGAATCATATTATAACATAATGTTTTTGTTAATAAGTTACCATGGTAATGAAAACCTTACGGAAAATAAAAAGTTGTATCCAACCTAAGAACATAATATAATATAATTATGTTAAAAAATGAATAAAAAATTTACTATACCGTATTTCTGCTTATACTGTAGTTGTAGACGAATTTTATTAATCCAACGATTTTTGATTGCACATAATATAATATACCGAACGGTTTTGAGGTCGGCGTATGAATCTGTAGATATTTTGTGTGTAGATAGTAGATACATATTGTTGTAATAACTGTGACGTGTGATCATGATGTATACCTACGACCTACCAATATATCATATACATATTATAATTTATAATAATTATTCGATAAATTGATAAATAATGTAAATAAATAAATAGATATATAAATGGTGCTGTCAATCAGGGGTCTCCAACTTAATCCGGATCCTGCCCACCAAAGGTTTTTGCACCGGTCCGCCAATCTAATAAATGTTTTGAAAATAATATAGGTTGTCCTCTAAATGGTGCAAAAAGAAACGTAGAGGTCCGGCTCCTCAACATCTAGACATTGATTACTGATTTGGTTGAATTCATGTGACGTCAAAACTCAAAAGCAAGATAATCCATTTATAGGCGTTTTAAATTGCATAGCTGAACATTTTCCTCCTCGAGTTAATTATTAATTTCTAATTTTGAATCGTATTCCTAGTTTTTATAGTAGATTTTGTAATAATTTTTAATTATATTATTTAATATTATTTTTTTTTTTTTTACCTATTCGGGCCGGTCAAAACCTTTGCCCCCTCTATTGAAAACTGAAATGACGCCACTGATATTAGTACCTATTAATACATTCCCTATACCACCACAAGCTTAGTTTAAAGGTGTAGGTAATTTTTATTATTTTCTTTAATACTTTGTATCATTTTGTGTTAATCATATAATAAATATCTTCTTACATAAAAAAAAAAAAAATGGTATGTTCATGCCCGTAATTATTGCAGTTTTTTTTGTTGATAAAATGTTCGTGAATCGTGTTGCCGTCACAGAATAGGTAATTATCATTTTAATAAATTGTATAAAATATTAAATCTGTCCTTTGAGGATATGAAATAGTTATTCATACTTAGGTACATAAATAAAAATGGGTAACAAAAGATGTATTTTTATAAAGTTTGTGATGAGTTATTGAATGTAGTCTGTAAGAGCTTTGAAAAATAATTGTTCTTGGCTTTTTGAAGTGCTGAATCTGATTAGTTTTGTTCTTATAAAAATCCCAATATTTTCGAAATTGAGTACAACAAGGGGCATACAGAAAAATACAAAAAAAAAATAGAAGGAATAATTTGTATGTTTCAAATGCAACAGAAAGAAATAAATAAATCAAACCTTAACTAAAAAAAAATGTTACATTGAAAATACCACTAGATTAATTAATCTTAAAGTTATTTACAATAGAATTTCAAAACTGACCCAAGTTGGTCCGTTTGACGGTACCTAACCTATATCAATAAACATAATTTTGATTTTTTATACTTTTATTGATATTTCGTGATAAACTGATAAATTGTCAATATATTATGATAGATAATTCAAATTGAGTATTTACGACTATTTACATTATTCAATATTTGATCCCAACCACGGCTAAAGAATTAAGATAGTACTATCTTTAATCGTGATCCCAACAATAATGTCGATGTGTTATAATAATTGATAAAGACGATATATCTAAATCATACAAAATACATCATTTCTACCGCCAACGACCATACCACGTTGAATACACCAGTTCTCGTCCGATCACTGAAGTTAAGCAACGTCGGGCGTAGTTAGTACTTGGATGGGTGACCGCTTGGGAACACTACGTGCCGTTGGCATTTTTTTTCTACTTTTTTTGAGTAAAAGTTTTTGATAGTAAATAGCATAAATTTTTTACTGAAAAATGAATTGATAATATTTTGTTAACATTTTGGTACTACATTTCACTACATTTCACCTGGGTTTATAATTTTAACTTTTTATATTCCAAATATAGTAGATAATAGATATTATATTTGAAAGGCGCCTGTCTAGTCTACAGAGTCTTAAATAGGGTTAAATTTTTTATTTAAGGGACCTCGGTACGGCAACATTTAGACCATTTTTATCTCGACTTCGCAGTACGGAATCTATGTGTTAGCTGTAAATGATTATTAATGTGAGTGAAATTCATTGTAGGTACCACTCTCGTCCGCTTATATGTACATGTCAATAACTTGATAACAATATAAAATTCACTACATGAATTTTACGACAATTTACTTATTGTTTTGACAAAATTAAAGTTAGTTAATGCTGTCTGATTTCGATTCTAAAAAAAAATTTGAATTCAGCGGGAAAAATGTCTGTGGATCTTACAAAACAAATATGAATTTTAATTTGAAATTTGAATTATGATTTGAAAAACTCATATTTTCAAGTTTTTGACTATATACAGTTTACATTAATATAACTGAATTGCTCGGATTTTATAGCATTTTCTAACTATTATAGGATACAGTCATACATGCAGATAAAAATAGCAGAGAGCTATAAAAATTTGTTTTATACACCAGGGACTAAAAATATGAAATTTTATACTGTTATATTTGATAATTGGCATATTATTATGTTTTATTTGGTACTTTCATAAATCTAGTTTATAAATTATAAAATTATGTGGTATGAAAAAAAAGTTTATCATTTATTTTAATTATATTTTATTTGAATAAATAGGAAAAATACTCACATTTTCGTTCGTATTAAAATCTATTTTTAAGTTGTCCGGCTCATTGGGCCTATGGTTTAATGAACTGTAAACAATTGTTGCCGTATCTTCATTCCATTCGAGTAATTCAAGTAATTAAAAAAAAGTAAACTAATTTCAGTTTGTTATAAATTATAAGTGTATTAATTTATAAATAAACTTTTTTTCAAATTGTGAACAGAATAAATTAAATTTATTGCTATTTTCACGTCTTCAGAGCATATTATAGGGCTTATTTTGTGATTTTTTAGGTCATATTATAGCATATTTTGTTATACACAAACATTTACCAAGACATTTAACACTGTGTATAAAATTAGGTTATTATAATATATAATTCGAAAATAAATTACCAAAATCGTAATATAGTCAACAAATCAGTATTGCCTAATTGATTACTCATGACTCGAAAAGAAAATTATTAGATAACTGCCCTACAATAATAATTTACTAGGTATAAAAAGTTAAGTTACAACAATAAAAATGTTAACTGAATAAGTTAATAAGTTAAAAACAAAAATATTTAACTAGTTAAGTTAAAAAGTTAAAAAAATTAACTTTTTTACAAGTTAATGCCCATACCTTTGGTATCAGTGTATCACGTCTTCTCGTAATAATAAAATGTTTTAATCTTTACAAAATTTAAATTTGGCGCACTTAATTTGTTCACGTTAGTACGTTTTTTCTTCCATGATTAAACGCGACGGCCGACGGCGACGTACCGAGATTCGTCCATCACGGTTTTGAGGTTATGTATGGCTAGAGCAGTTTCGGACACTTTCCTTCAATTTTCTCGACGTTTGTTTTCTGAACGAGTGTCAGAAAATTTTTAGTTTTTCTGAATTAATTTCGCTGTACATTACTCAACATGGCCGATCAGGTAATATTCATTAACTATCAAACGATTTAAAATCGGTATTAAACGCTATTACACTGTTTCGAAGTTGTATTTCATTGATGTGTGTCAGACATTCAGACCACATGGAATGCTTTTACATTATGTATTGCTTTAAACTAAAACAAACATTTCTCGTTTATAGACGGAAAAAGCTTTCCAAAAGCAACCTACCGTATTCTTGAACCGCAAGGAATCCAAGAAGAAGAAGCCCCTCCGTCATTACCGCAGCGTTGGTCTCGGTTTTAAAACTCCCAGAGAGGTTGGTATTGATTTTTGAGATGTTAATTTTTTAATGGCTAATTTTGTGTTAGTGTTACCTTGTTAGTAATGTAGTTTAAACTGTATTAAAATATACAATTTGTTTTTTCTCTATTTAGTATTTACATTTAATGTACCAGGAAGTATCTAATCTGTTAAGTGTAGTTCAAGTAATTCACATTAAACTGATGTCACGCAAGCATTTTTTTATTTCACTTCATTTTATACATAACTTGTTTTTATAAATCAAATTTAAATTGTCCCTTATACCTATCGATTATCAGGTATATCTGTTCGTATTGACTACAATCAATAAAGTTTATTGAAATTTGTTCAATGAAATATTTATATTTCCTGTAGCGATAACTTTGATTTATATGATGATACTAACACGACGGTCTTATGATTATATTATGACTGATTTCAAAATGTGTTTTCTGATAATTTGTTAGAGAATAAAAATGTGATGGCTTAGTTACTGTAAATAGGTTTACATTTTAATTATGATGAGAATATGGTTTTTTATGAGTTAAATTACTTTGATTTTCTAATGGTTATCTGATAACATTAAAACTATTATCTTTCATAATTAATAAATTAGGTCGGTAGTAACAATTTTCATGATGATACTAACACGACGGTCTTATGAGTAAACTTACTCTGATTTTAAACTGTGTTACTGACTACCTTGTATAATAATTTTCTCTTCTATATTTAATACTAATAGTAAAACCTGTTCAAAATTAAATATACTAAATAAATTTAAAATTAAAAACAAAAAATAATATGATGATACTAACACGACGGTCTTATGAGTAAACATACTTTGATTTCAAATTGTGTTACTGACTACTGTGCACAAAAAAATAATTTTGATGTTTATAATTAATAGTACCTATATAAATTTCAAATTAAAAACGCAGAATAATATGATGATACTAACACGACGGTCTTATGAGTAAATTACTTTGATTTTAAACTGTGTTACTGACAACCGCGTATTATAATTTTTTCTATATTTAATACTAATAGTAAAAACTGCTTAAAATGAAATATACTAAATAAATTTAAAATTAAAAACAAAATATAGTATGATGATACTAACACGACGGTCTTATGAGTAAACGTACTTTGATTTCAAATTGTGTTACTGACTACTGCACAAAAAAATGATTTTGATGCTTATAATGAATAGTACCTATATAAATTTTAAATTAAAAACTCAGAATAATATGATGATACTAACACGACGGTCTTATGAGTAAACTTACTTTGATTTTAAACTGTGTTACTGACAACCATGCAAATTATTTCTTTTCTGAGTGAAATTATAATGTTTGCTTATGTTTTGTAATAGTTACATAATCATAGTTTTACTATTATTATTATCTTTTTCTGTACAGTTACAATATTTACAATTATTTAAACTCCTAGTTTTATTTTATTTTCTATTATGAAAATGTCATGACAATCATGCGTTTTGTTACTGATATATTATTTTCAAATAGTAATGTTTTATCAGATTACTTACACATGTTTATAGCAGTATTAATAGTTTGCTGAATATTTACATTTTAAGATATTATATTTCTATATCAGAGAATAATAGGATATTGAATCGGTACTATTACGCCAACGATTTTTTATAGACAACTATCAACAAGAAAAAATGTATATAAACTGCATAGGTATTACAATATAACCTATTACAAAAATATTTTTAAAACTGAAGCTCAACTTTTTTTGGTACATGATTGAAATAAATTTATATATGAGAGTTAATATAATTATAAAATTTGCTGTTTAATATTTTGTTTCATAAATATATTATAATGTCAAGTACTCAAGTGCATGTTAAGAGGATGTGATATCCGCATGTGTTGTCTCCGTCTTACAAGTGCATAACAGCAAATTGTACGCTCAACAAAACACGTGTAGCTCCTTTAATTTAAAAACTAGAGTAAATTAATCTCTTATAAAATCTAAAGGTAAGACTATTATCTTGACAACCTCATGGGCTTTTTATATTTTAATTTTTAAACTAGTTATGAGTACTTTAAGATCTATTCTATAAACAATTTGCAATTTTAAAATACTCCTAGCTCGCTTAAAAATTAAAATAAAATAAAAAGCCCATGAGGATGTCTAGATAATAATCTTACCTTTAGATTTTATAAGAGGTCAATTCACTCTAATTTTTAAACTGATGGAGCTACACGTGTTCTGATTAGCTTAGAATTTGGAATGCTACCCACTGTAAGGCTGAGACAACCCACCGGGGTATCACGTCCTCTTAATGTAATGTATATTTAAGTATCTTAATACTAAATATATTTATGTTAATCAATAAAATATATTTATATTAGTATTCTAATTACATGGGTTGTTATTTTATAGGCAATTGACGGAACTTACATCGACAAGAAGTGCCCATTTACTGGTAATGTTTCCATTAGAGGACGTATCTTGACTGGTATGGTACGTAAAATGAAGATGCAAAAGACTATTGTGATTAGGAGGGATTATTTGCACTACATCAGTAAATACAATCGTTTTGAAAAACGTCATAAAAATATGTCCGTTCACTTATCACCTTGTTTCCGGTATGTTATTGAATGGTTTTTTTTTTATTATTATCAGTTACCTATAAATTACCAATGTTAAATAATATAATCATTTTTGTTTGTATAGTGATGTGGAAATTGGAGATATTGTTACAATTGGAGAATGCCGACCCCTCAGTAAAACAGTCAGATTTAATGTACTGAAAGTAACAAAGGGAACAGGTGCAAAGAAAGGTTTCAAAAAATTCTAAGATTTAAATGTAATATTATTATTTTTATTCATTACAATAAATTCTGGAAAACAAAAAAAAATTCATCGTTTTTTTGCACTTATTTATTACTTAATAATTTTCTATTTTTGGTGTTTACTTTTAACTAGCAATATTGGGTTATTTTTGGTGGTTTTATATATAAAAAAAAAAGTGTTGTGATTTGATTTGATTTTAACAAATCTAAAATCATAATTACTTATTGTGAATAAATTAAATAATTAATTTTAATACACGTTAAACAGTGGAAGTGATTAGACATGATCTGTGGAAGTTATGGTTAATAACTTAGGAATTATTATGAATTAACTTAATTTTATTTAAAAAACACAATTATACTAATTATACGGTTATTACTCATTACCAGGGTTTGGATTTGAAGGCAAATAATCAATAAAAAAAGGCATTTATTTTATATAAAAAAGCAATTCAAAAATATACTAACAGTTAGTATAAAGAAAAAATTCACTATTATGTATTTTGTTAAGCTTTCATCAGTAAAACGTTGATGGTTTTGGCTAATAATATTTTTATACATTGAAAAGAATCTTTCTACATCCACCAATGTTATCGGGGTGTATTTCATACATAAATAATTACCTAAATTAAGATGACTACTTGTTAAATCGTCATCTCTTGTTGTTTCTTCAATCAATATTTGGTTGATTTTTTCGATATTTTCCCATCCTTTTTTCTTATACATAACTTTGTTGAATTTATCCAAAATCAATTAAGCCACTTCACCATTACATTCTTTGAGTTTAATCTGTATATTATTCACAATATCTACACTTTTCAATAGTAATACACCCAATACATATTTTATGAATATATTTTAATATAAGACTGTAACGGATAGAGTATTCAGCGATATCGATAAATATCAAGCTCTTATCGATTTTTACTGTTAATACGTAAGCTGTTTAAAAAATTATTAAATCAACTGAAAATTTAACACAAAAAAAATCATTTTTAAGTAAAAAAAGGCAAAAAAAAATACATCCATTGTCTTCAAAAAAACACATAATTCCTAAACATAATTTTACCATTTGTTTAGTGTTTAATCCATTTTACGGTTAATGTTTGTTATTAATTTATCTTTTTTTAACCATTTTACATAAAGTGCTAGTCACGTCATTTTATGAAGGAAAAAACATACATTTTACTTCAGTTTAAATAATGACAGTTTTTTAATTTATTTGTTTACCATTACTGCTAGTTACCTATAATATATATTAAAATATAAATATTAAGAATTCTAAGAAAGTTATTACTATAATGAATAAAAAAATTACTATTATACATCTTGCAGAAGAGCTTATACTCTATTCAGAATAAGAACAGCGGCCGGTTGTTCGCATGAGCGTGGCTTTGTTCCATAGCAGTGCATAACGTGCCACCGTAGTGGGGACGATGTCTGACTGTCACGAAACAAAAACTAGTCGCCGCGCAAGGCTGATCTTTTTCTGAATAGAGTATAGGAATATATTAATGTAATAATGTTAAAATATAGTATTAAAAATATTTTTAAATGATAAACGATATAACAAATAGTAATGTAATTATTACCATTGAGTAATTTATTATTTTTAAAATTTTTTTCTATAAATATTGATATAAAAATGTTTTCTTGGCAAAAAAACTTAGAATGCAACTATTTAGACAATTTTTAAACTTTATATCATTATAAATTTATAATCATAGACATAAACATGAAGGTGATTCCTATCTTCCTCCCTCCATGACCTTTTTTTTTATAAATAATGTAGTGTGTGGGGGGGGGGGCACTACCCTGTGATTTATCTTAGAAATATTTAATATATTATGATAGAATATATAAAATATTTCCTCCCCGTCCACCCACCAACTTCTGTTTGGGATACTGACTATTGCTACGTACAATTAGTTACTGAAGAAATGTAAAACTAACCGATGATATTATCTTATTAAATTTAAAGTAATTTACTAAAATGTTATCTACCTTTTTCTAAGTAATGTAATTTAATAGATTGAACACTGTTATTACTTAAATTATTACATAAGTATAGTGAACTGCTACTGCTTGCATAGGTATAATTTATAACATTATTTTGAATAAAATTTTATAATTTGAAAGTTAAAATAAGTACGTATGAGAATTAACACAATTAAATAAGTGCATTTATTTATTAAGTACCTATTGATCAACAAACTGATTAATGTAATAAAAAATTTAAAAAAATGATGAATGTAGGATTTGGGTACTACCTGTGGCCTGTGCTATGAGTGTTATATTTGAATATTTCCCAGTTGAGAATTTTTAAAAGAAAAATCCTGTCATTTTTGAAAACTTTCAAACATAACTATGTTTTTGTTCTTTTTTCTCTTCTCTGCTCCTACGAGATTTTTTGTTTCAGTTATATAACTATCGGCATCTATAGGTACAAATAGAGATGTAAACTTGAACATTTTCAACTTTAAAAATTGTATTTTTCATAACTTATTAATTTTTGATGTTGTACGGTTGGTATGTTAGTTAAATGTTTATTATTTAATTAGGAATTACATATTTACATGCCTGTGAATATTACCTAAAACTAAAATATATAGATGGGTACCTACATGTTAAATAAAACATGTTTATCACTTTATCAGTTATAAATAGTTCTGACCTGTCTTGTCTCTTGTGTTGAACCTAGGTAAAATGTATTTTAATGAGTAATAACTACTCATAAAAAGTACTTGGTGTGTAATTTATTGTGAAAACAACAAAAAATGGAAAAATCAATAAATGTAGGAAAACCTTACTACACTCAACATATTTTATACTGATATACATTTTTATAATAGATAAAAATGCACATTTATTACCGAAATAAATTAATTTGGTTTTAGGATTTCCGATATTATGTTTAATACTATAATATTAAAATGGGAAAATGGTAATACAAGCCACACAGTTTTAAATATAATTATGAAGGTTAACTATACTACAACTATATTATGCCAAGGGATTTATTTGATAAGAAATTAATATGAAAAATAATAAAATATTCATAATTTTTAACTTCATGAAAACATACTAGGTAGGTACTAATAAATAAAATGATTGAAGTGCTTGTTTGTTCTCGCTAACCTTCAAAATTGCTGAACGATTTTGACAGACATGTATCTAGAAGACGGTAAGGATTAAGGAGTAGTCAATGATACTTTTTATCTATTTTATGTATATTTTTCTTATGTAAAAATATTAATTGGGTAACAGGTATTTTTTTCATGGGTTAGCTACTTAGCTCTACAGGTTTCGCATGTAATCACTATGACTTGCCTAACCAATCATCAAGCACTCATTGGTTCATTTTTTATTGATAAAGCACACTATGCTGCATACATTCAACTGCTGCCACTGAAAATTGATCGAAGTAGAAGTAATACACTAATACACCCGTGGTGCCATATATCCGGTTTTTGCACCAACTTATTACAAATTAAAATGTCCACCGAACCAGTGAACCACTAATACTTTGATCGTGTTAAAAATCCGTGTTGTTCCATTTAACGGGTAGAGATGCCAATACCCAAACTGGCTAAACCGACTTGCTCATACAATTGTTATACTTAAACGAAATACGAGAGCGAAGTTTTGTAGTACCTACCTACAGCTAGGTTTTAATAATATGATTATATGAATATTCAATTAATATGTTCAAATACTATTATACGCACATAAGAATTATGTAATTATGTATAGGTACATGACATATCTTGTTACTATCTGGTATTCTGCTTTCATTATTTAATATGACCAAATGGCCAAAACATATCAATGATAAAAATATTTGATAGGTACTTTCAGGGGTTAAAGTGGGAAAAAATTCCAGAGGGGACTTTTGTCTCCATATAGTTTTAAGCGTTTCATATATAATGTTATGGATAAAATCCTAATTTGTTAAAGGGGACGCTTTTTAATCGCCGTCACACTAAGTTCGCCTGCGTTCCTCCCACTTTAAGCCCTGGATACCTACAGTACAATAATAATAATTATTATTATTAGTGTCGCTGTCGACAAGTAATCTTCCTGAGGAAAAGTAATATGAATAATGCCGAGTTGCACGAACAATCACTAAATATTTAAGTAGGTATTTAACGAATAAATATTGAGATAATCTGCTATAATGGCCCCTTAAACATGTGGCTCATGAATGGTTTATTAAATTTTATTGAACCATTATGTAATTAATCATTTTTTCATGCGATTTGGTATAAATATTCTAAAAAGTAAAAACAGACAATAGTCACAAACACGGTCTAATATAGTAACTACATACTACATAGGTTGATGTTACTAAAATCTATACCTAGTATTACAAAGTATTACATTTTTTTTTTAGTTTACTTATTAAAAAATGTAGGTAGGTAATATTACTCAATACTCACTATAAAAAGTAGGTACCTACTAATTACCTGTTTTAAAAAAAGTATATTAAGTTACTAGTTTCCCATAGGTATGCTTACGAATAATATTTGTTTGAATTACAACACTATTATAACTAAAACCGTAATTTTTCAATCCCCATCAAAAAAAAATTGAACTTTAAATGTTTATTAAATAAAATTGAAATGTTTAAATTTTTCGGGGCGTTTGGGACCCACTGTAAATTACCTAAAATAATAGATTTATTCGGTTATGGTCGAATTGCACTTATTTTAGTCGAATTGCACTTGGATTTAAAAAAGGTAATGGTCGAACTGCACTCGGGTAAAAAAAAAGTAATAGTCGAACTGCACTCGGGTAAAAAACAGGTAGTGGTCGAACTGCACTTGGGTTCAAAAAGTATTTCAATAAAATTATCATGCAATTGAAGGGGTTGAACATTTGGTTCACACTCATTTTCCTATAATTATTATATTATACTTTATATTATATTATATTTTAAGCTCAAATATGAGGCGGAAAAAGTCCTTCGTCAGAAATATAATTATCAACTAAATAGTCACTAAAA